AATCAACTGCGAATGATCGATAGAAATTAGCCCCAGTGTCGAACCAAACCACACTCCGACATACACAATTCTAAAGAGTAGGCAATTCGAAATCTTTAGGTTGTGTGATAGAAGCTTGGTGCCATAGTCCACAGAGCGGGTCGGGAAATGAGAACAATTTTGTTTTTATGTAGCGGACATTAAGATATAAAAGGTTGTTACCCATTTTTTTTTCATCAGCAATCTTTTTGTCTCGTGAGTTTATTTTCTCTTTTATTTGTGTTTTGCCACCCCCGTCGGACTCAACTTGTATCGGCCCCAATCCCTGCTGGTCCCGTCTGTCTAAGATCTAAACACAGCGTGGGTAGACAGACCGGAGATCGGTACAGTTGCTTTTAGTGACCAGGTATTGGAAGCGAGTCGGGAAAGGCGAGGCTGGTGATCATCTGACCAAGGGGTTGGAGCGGCACGCTTGGACCCAGGAGGAGCGACCAGGAGGAGCGACGTCACCGTTGGCGCCGTAACCAAAGGATCCGACCCTGGGCCAGGTGTTTTAATCATGTCCCTCCATTTCCTATATTCCCAGCTCCTAATAATCTTGGTCTTTTCACCATCCTTCCCAGCCCTTGTTCCGCCATGCATTTAATATATTCATATAAGTTTGTAAAATTCTTTTTCACACTCTTCCCAACAAATATCTTGTTTCCTGTTTAGGATTGAGTTTCTGGTTCCTTCTAAAGCCTACTTCAACTCTATACTTCTAAAGTCTCCGCTGAAAAGGCGAATTTTTTTTTTTTTTTTACTAATTATTTTTCTTTATTATTTTTATTCTCTGTAGGAGTAGACAATTTCTACTGTCGTCTGGTTCACACTTCTCCCAAATTTTCTCAATATGTATACAGATTTATGTCTTGCTTCCTGTTTAGGATCAGGTTTCTCGTTCTTTCTAAAGTTTTTTTTTAATTTTTTTTAATAAAGTAGCCCCTTTGCGTCGTAGTAAAATTATTTTTTTCCTTTTTATTTAAATTGATTAAAACAAGTTTGCATAAGCTTGTTTGGAAGCTTACTCTCTGTTTTCCTCTGTCCCTCTTGCCTCCAATACGGTCTCTCAGCGTCAATTTTTCCAGCTCCTTTATGCTTCTCAGTGAACTTGAAAATTTTCTCATTCGTGCTTGTGCTACCCCTTTTCTCTATTTTTTGTACCGTATGACCTCCCACCCCATTAATTAGTTTTATCGTTATCTAATAATGAACTTTGTGTCAGATGTTGATTCGTGAGACTTATTTTTTTTTCTACACGTACAGATTTCCCTTTATCACTATTTGTGATAAGGGAACATTTAAAAATGTTTTGTTTGCATCAATTGTTTGGGCCATGAGATTTTTTTGCTACACCTAGTCTGACATTCACATGAGAGGAAGTTGCAGAGATCGTCCACAACCGGAAGTGACACGACACAAAGAAGAAGGCTGTGACATTATTTATCATACGAGCAGAAAAAGGAACGCAGAGATAAAGAAACCTCCTTCATTTATCCAATATTTCCTTATTGCGCTATAAAATATTGACACTATTCTCTATCGATCCCTGCTGGTCTATGATATTGTGGCTAGTGTAGTTATTTCTAAAGTGTCAAAGGTTGACTGGTGATCAAAGGATGTAAATATTTATTATGTAAAATTAAATTTGTAAATAGTAATGAATCGTGAATAACTTTAATATGTATGTTTTTTTTTGTTGTTTTTTTTTGTTTTTTTTTCAGGGGAGTTTTTAAAAAATAATTGATTTTGGGAGACAACGTTAAATGAATAAAAATGTGGGTGAAAATTAAAATGGCCAGAGGAACTATTGAGAGAAAATTTTCAGGTGTTAGCAAAATTTATTCTCGTTTAAATGTCATATAAGAGGGGCAGAATGATTTGATAAATTTTCAAGAAGATAATGATATCAAATATTGCCAGAGACCAGTTATATTTCAAGAAAATGTACCCCATGTATGTAGTAAATCTGTCTGGAGTGTAGCTTTTTTCTGGGGCTTCACTGTGTCTGTTTAAATTTGAGTTTCAACAAAGGTCAAAGCAAAGATTATCACTTTTTTCTGAGAAAACTCACGCAACACAAAGTCTTATAAAATGTGATTTTCTTCGGGCTTTCTCAGTCCTGCCGTAGTCGTTAACCTATTAACTGCCAATTTTTTTTAATGCGCATTTTTGGCCCAGACAGGGGTCTTAGGAGTTTATTTATTCCTTATGTTTAATTTCAGTAGTTACCATTGTCGTTTTATAGAAACTAGAACATCAAATATATATGTGTATAAAACATCAAGAAATAATATTGATTAGAAAAAATACTTGTCAAAATAGTCATTAGTTTTCTGTCTGTGAAATGTAAAATTACGACAGAAAGTGTCTTCTTACGGCTAATAATAAAAAATTTAAAGGCAAAATGTTGTAAAATATACCTCTGCAAATGCAACGTATGTAAGCAATTCAATGTAAATACAAGGAATAGCATGTAGTGAGTAATTTTAACAGATCCCCAAATGGGGCCCATGGCAGGTAATAGGTTAATTTCGCGCATTGCATTCTGCCCTTCCCCTAACTGCTTCGACACTTATATAGTCACTATGGCTGAGCTAGGCTAATTAGGCAATGCTTTCTATATCAATACACAAACATATTTGTCTTTCAACCATCGGCATTACATTCATATTTGTATTTGCAAAATGATGTTTGCCCTGTAAAAAGCCAAAGAGCTAATCAAGGAACTACAAAATAAGAGGTACAATTTATGAGGATATGTGGGGAAGATAACGCTTGACCTTAGACTTTGACAGGTTAAGATCGTAGTGATCGGGGTAACATCCACTTGGTGATAATGAAATTTGCAATGAGCGTTTGATATGGCGTGAAAATTCCTCATATCGTGTCGTGGACAATTTCTTTAGTATTGCAAATTCGACAGAACATGTCTCAGACAAAAATACGTTCATTAAATACGTTTAGAAAATAATCTATTTCTGTCTATGTTAGCCTAATTTATTTACTTGTATACGAGTCGCGTTTATTTTAATTTTGTCAACGTGTCTGAAAAGAAATGTGCAGAAACTAAAAGCTAAAATAATCGGGCTTTTAACATGGCGTGAAAATTGTCTTGGTTGTTTCCTGGATCATTTCGTTAGTGTTGCAAGTTCTATCGTGATGGGTGCTATAACTATGCAACTTCGTTCCAGTCTAAATCTCAGATGCCTATCTATATTAGTCGAATTATATCTACAACTATACGACGTATGTGCATTTTAATTCTGTTAGTGAGTTTTGCATAAAAGCGGGCATGAATTGAAAAACAAAATTAAGTTTCTAGCAAACTGGCAAACGCACACGATTCTAAAGAGCTTTTGTCAACTCTTTAACGGCTTGCGATTTTTTTTTCAAAAAGACAAAGCGTTAAATTTGGGCTAATTTCTTAAGGTGTGATAAATAATTCCAATGGCGGCGTAGGCGTGGAAATAAAATGCGTTTATATCCAGCTCAAGTTTTTCTTTTTTGCATTGTTTAATTTAACTGATGGCGCAAACAACAGGGAGGACATTGTTTAAGCTGATGCACCGCCTGTCTTCCATGTTGTGCGAGGGTGTAAGAAATGTGTGCCACTTTGTTTTTCTGCAGCATGCGATGTTATAAGACTTGATCAATTTTAATCAATTATTCGCCGATGTTGCAAATAATTCAAAGAGCTGATAAATGCATTTAATGTCAAGGACGTTTAGTAGGAGAATACTTGACAAAAAATAACTTAAAGACTGAAAGATAGGATTAGCGATTTTATTTTTCTATTTTCTCAATGAGAATGAAGTTGTGAATAAAAAAGAGGAGGAAAATATGAAAATGACGGAGGAAAAGGGTAAAATAAAGTAAGGACAAAAGAGTGGAAGATAGAAATAGTGGGATGATTAAATATAGTGGGACATGGAAGAAAAATAGAAAGGAAGTACGTGAGACAAAATAAAAGGACGAATGGAGAAAAGAAGCCGTGAAATGAACGAAATGAAAAGCAAAAAGAAAAAAAGAAAGAAAATGAAGTAATAAACAGACAATGCAAAGAAAGAAAGAAAGAAAGAAAGAAAGAAAGAAAGAAGAGAGACATAGAAAAGAATGGAAAGGTAGGAAATAAAAAGTGACAATGGAGAATAAAAAACGTTGACAAGATAAGAGTAGAAAAGAATCATGAAGGAAAGAAAAATGAAAATTAAAAATGCACAAGAAAGAACACTGAAAAAATAAACTAGATGACAACAAATTGAACCATAATAGAAAGAAAAACATGAAAGGCACAGCGAAAAGAATAAAGAAAGAAAAGTTTAAAATAAGAGAAAGAAAAAATAAATAAAAATGAGTGAGAAATGAAATAAACCTAGAAAGGAGAAGAAAGAAAGAATAAACGCAAAAGAGAGTGATGAGAATGAAATCGTGAAAGATTGAAGAATAAAATTAAAAGCAAGGGTAAAAAAATGTAAGAAGAAAAAAGGAAAGGAAACTAAGCCAATGAAAATGATTCGTTTTCTACGGTTTATCAACCCTTTCTGGTTATTTAAAGCCAGAAATTATTTTTGATTGCAGGAATAAATGAGAGGACAGGGAAGAAATGAGCCATAATAGAAAGAAAAACATGAAAGGCACAGCGGAAAAAAAGGAAGAAAGAAATTATTAATAAAAGGGAAGGACGAATAAATAAAGGAGAGCGAGAAAAGAAGTTAGCACTGAAATATATACGAGAGTGGAGGAAGAAGGAAAAAGAATAAATGCAAGAGAGGGTGATGAGAAAAAAGAAAAAATAGTTCCTGGAAGAGTGAAGAAAAATGAACAAAGAAAATTAAAAACAAAGGCCAAAAACAAGAAAAAAGAAACTTGAAAAAAATAATATAATGAACGAAAAAAAAAGTTTAAACCCGAATGAGAAAATGAAAGTGTGTAAGGATAGAAGGAAAAATGAGATGTGGAAAGAATGTGAAAAAAAAAAATCAAGTAGAGAAAGATGGAAGAAAAACAAATGCAAAAAGAAAGGCAGGGGAAAAAATAGAAGAAACAAAGGAGACAAAGACAATGAAGAAAGAAAGAAAGAAAGAAAGAAAGAAAGAAAGAAAGAAAGAAAGAAAGAAAGAAAGACAGACAAATATGAAAAGGAAAAAAGTAAGAGGAACGGGAAAAGTAAAGAATCGTAGGGAAGAATGAAGAAGAACAGACGCAAAAGAAGAGGAAAGAAGAAAATGAGACAAACACGAAGAGTAGAATAGGTGAATGATGAAAATAAAACAAACACAAGGAAGAAAGGAAGGAACGAAGGAAGGAAGGAAAGGAACGAGGGAAAGTACTAAAATGAGTTGGAAAGAAAAAAGAAAAAGAAATGCAAAGAGAAGGAGCAGAAAAGAAAAGAAAGAAAAGCAGATGTAAAAAGAAAGAGGAAAGAAGTTAGAAAAAACAAATACGAAACGAGGGATGAAAGAAAGAAGATAGAAAAGCGCAAAGAGCATTATAAAAGAAAGAAGAAGGACAAACACAGAGGAAGTGGAAAGAGGGAGGAGAGACAAAGGTAAAGAGCAGTAGGAAAGAAGAAAGAAAGAGAATGAGAAAAGAAGGAAGAAAGACAAATAAGATGAGGAGAAGGAACGAAAGAGGAATGAAAACTTCAAAGAGAAAGAGGAAATAAAGAAAAGGGGCAAACGCAAAGAGAAGGAGGAAGGAAGAAAGATAAATATGAAAAAGAGAAGAGAAGAAAAGAAAGTAGACAGATGTAGAGAGAATGAGTAAAAAAAGAAGAAAAATAAATGCACGATTGAAAAAAAAAAAAAGAGAAACCTTAATGAAGATCTAGCGCTGAGACGTATTACCAGTCAAAGTGGTTTCTGAGATTTCCTACAAACAATAATAAAATGTGAAAAATTAAGAGCTGTAACTCTAGCTTTGTTCGCTGACCCCGTGCGGTTAACTAATATGCCCGTTCACCCTCAGAAGTCTTCTTTATTTGAAAAGAATAAATTTCCGTAAACACTTTTAGGTGCAAATCTTGCCATGCTATCATATCATGAGTCTCTCAACCAATTAGCTTTTAGGGTAACTATATGTACTACAATTGGAGCAATAGTGGGTGTGCAATCGCTCTTCAGCCTGGATGCACACACCTCTTCAAGCTTGTTTTGGATTCAGGGTTTCTCTTAAACTGTATATCACACAAGGGTAAAATACTCAATCTACATTACTATTTAATCCATAGGCGGGGAAGAAGTAACGGATTCCTTCCTTTTCCAAAAGTCGTTGTGCGATAATAAATTCAAGTGACTAGAGCTCAAATTGAATTCTGCTCGGAAAGATCTCATCCTGCGTTGATTTTCGTTATATTCCCGCACATCTATCGCCAATGCAAATACAAAAACACGTCATAAAAATCATGTGTTGATAACTTAGTGTATACTCTGCAATAAAAGAGAAATGGATCGAAATGTTAATTTCTAATAGAAAGAATGTCATAATGTTATCTTTATATTCCAAAGTTATTTTCTCTTGTACATTTTTATAGATAAAAGACAAATTACTTATCTTAATGGTAAACATGAGGTCTTTATTTACGAATTTATCATGTTCGTTTTTTTTTCTCAGTTATGATAGGCCTTTTGCTTCAATCGTCCGCTTGTTTTGCAGTGACATTGGATAAATAATCTTTTTTGTAAAAAAAAATACATATAATAATTACACCACTTTTAATTAGTTCTCCTGGTACCGAGACAATATGAATTTAAGCATGCTTCTAGATTGGCCTCTAGGTCCCACCATTTTACTGTTGAAAGATCCACTTCTACACTATCAATTTCCTTTCTCTCACTTCCCACTTTCCATTTACTTGCTTCCCTAATAACTACAATCTTCTAAAAATTTAAATGCAAAGTCAATTGTCATCTTCTATCTATATAAATCTCGTGGATCTTTCCTGGATCCTACGTATTTTTCTCTTGCTTTCACTGCCTGTAACCTCCTGCGTACTAGTAGCATCCCTGCCTTGCTTGCGATTACATGATTAAAAACAAATATATAAATTTTTAAAAGGTATAATCTGAGTTAACCTTAAGCTCATAATTATTAATATGTGTAAGGTATTCGAATAACAAAAATAAAAACCTTTCTATAATAATCAGAAGGAAAACAATAGTTCGAATAAATTAATTCATATTACAAATTTTCGACCTGAAAAATGAAATAACATATTATCAAAAGCAGTGTGGACCCGTAATGATAAAAAAATATGTCGAAAGCATTTAAAACTGAGTAAAAAGGCGATAAAAATATAACACTCATATTTTTCTGGAGGTTTATACAGTTTTTGTTGAAGTTGGTTAACCGTGTCTTACTCTCGTGCCGTGGTTGTGAAACAATATCTACTATGTCAGTAGGACAAAATAACACAATAATTAACATACATATATATATATATATATATATATATATATATATATATATATATATATATATATCAGTCAAAAAATGGACTCTTCATGATGGCCAGAGGGTACTTGATCAAATTGTGTCTCCAACAGCATCTATAATAATAGAGTTAGGGAAAAAATTCGAATGAATAAAAAAAGGTGGACTTTTCTATAATGTTACTAGTAAACATCAATTTTTGTAAAAACAAAGATAATGTTTTCTTAGTAATTACAGTGCTGTTCAATAAAAGTGACTCACCTGATTTTTTTTACTTAAAAATTTTTTCGCCTATTGTTTTTGGGGTCAAACTAATTTTTAATCCTACTGATATAAAGACCCCTTCCTGATCACCTAGTTAAAAAGTTTACTCACCCTAAGGTATTCTATTGATATTTATAATTTTGGATATAAATGAGATTTAGTGAAAAACTCTGTGCAAAAAAAGTGACTCACTTATTTCCTGCAACTAGTAATCAATAGAAACATAACCGAACAGCTTTAAATAAAGAATAATAGAGGTATAATTTATTTATAACAGGTAATATAGTTCAAAATATTTAATAATCTATGGGTTCTCCTTTATTTTGAATAACCTTTTCAACCCTTTTTGGCATTGACTTGATTAGGTTCTGGCAAATCTCATCTCCAAGCATTGAATTCCATTGAAATATGAAATTCAAAAATCCTCTTTGTTGCTCAACTGCTTTCTCGAGAGCCTGTACTTTATAATGCTCCATAAGTTTTCTATGGGGTTCAGGTCAGGAGATTGGGGCGGCCATGTCATAACACTCACCTGCTTCTCATCAAAGTATTATTCCAATTTTGATTCATCAGGATCATTATCCTGCATAAAAAATGAGTGGGGTCGATTTGCACCCTTTCAGCAGAAGGGAACAGACAAGACTCTAAAATTTTCTTGTACTGCTCGCTCCTGAGGGTCTTTTCAATAGGTTTTGAGAAACCAGTTCCATGAAAAGAAAATCATCCCCAGAACATTATACTGAACGGATGCTTGACGGTACTTACTGCTAAATTCAAAGAGCTTTCAAAGCTTCTTCTTCGGATTTTAGATCGCTTATCCTTTAAATTTAGTTCAACTTTCGTTTCATCGGAGAAGTGAACATTTAGTAAAAAAAAAATCAGGTGAGTCACTTTTATCGAACAGCGCTGTATATATATTGGAAAAAATTGCATAATGGATGGACGTAGCTACCGGAAAAGCAACAGAATTAAAGAATACTTTCAATAGTCCGATTACTGTCTGAAAAGATAATGGATTTTCTGAACATTATAAACACTAAGTTATTTGAAGACGCATTAGGATAGTGGAAGATGCATTCCGAAAGCCAAGCAAAGCATTACGAAACAGAAATAATTTGTTAGAAACAATGAGTATAGAACAGCTACGTGATTTCAGTCCTGTTAGATAAAGAAGAGATTTGAAGAATCTGAAATGTGGTTTTATAGAAGGATGCTGAGACCGAACATGCATGGACCGAACACGTGAGCAATGAGAAGGTTTTCGAGAAAATGGAAACAAAAAGGAAACTTATACTTAACACCAGGAAGAGATAGTTGAAATTCCTTACGCATATAATGAGGAAAGAGCGACTGGAAAATTTGATAGTGACAAGACATACTGAAGGCAAGCGGAACAGAGGAAAACAACGCATAGCCTAACCAGTGAGCTTGGGTAAATGTATGGCGAAACAAGTTTTAGGAGAGAGAAAAGAAAGACAAAACTTACTATGAGCTACAACGGATCGTAAATTGTGGAGAACCATGATCTCCAACGTCCTGAAGGGACACGGTATATAGAAGAAGAAGAAGAAGGAGAAGAGAAAAAAGAAGAAGAATTTAGAAGACGGAGATGAAGAAGAAAAAGAAGAAGAAGATGCAAAAGTCAAAAGAAGAAGAAAAAAGAAAATTAGAAACGAAAATGAAGAAGAAGAAAAAGAAAAAGAGGAGAAAGAAGAAGAATTTAGTAGACGAAGATGAAGAAGAAGAAAAAAAAGATGGAGAAGAGAAAGAAGAAGAATTTAGAAGACGAAGAAGATGAAGAAGAAGATGAAGAAGAGAAAGAAGAAGAAGAAGAATTTAGAAGACGAAGAAGAAGATGAAGAAGAGAAAGAAGAAGAAGAAGAATTTAGAAGACGAAGAAGAAGATGAAGAAGAAGATGAAGAAGAGAAAGAAGAATTTAGAAGACGAAAAAGAAGATGATGAAGAAGAAGGAAAAGCGAAAAAAGAAGAAGAATTTAGAAGACGGAGATGAAGAAGAAAAAGAAGAAGAAGAGAAAGAAGAAGAAGAATTTAGAAGACGAAAATGAAGAAGAAGAAAAAGAAAAAGAGGGGAAAGAAGAAGAATTTAGTAGACGAAGATGAAGAAGAAGAAAAAAGATGAAGAGAAAGAAGAAGAAGAAGAATTTAGAAGACGAAGAAGATGAAGAAGAAGAAGAATTTAGAAGACGAAGAAGAAGATGAAGAAGAAGAAGAAGAAGAAGAAGAAGAAACATCTCTATTGAAGTTCCATGGTCAACCGTCGATCTAGCAAAAATACGTGTAAATAAAGACTACGACACATTTCAAATCAAACGACCGATTACAAGCAGAATAACAGAGGAAAATTTAAAAGTGTGAATATATAAAGACAAAAATAAAAGCCAAATTAATAAAGCGAGGTCGTTTAATTCCATAACCAGTTTATGGCCTCAAAGCATATCAAAAATAATTTTTGTATTAGATGTAATTTCCTTTTTCTTTCATTTTTTTTATTTTCATCCTTGTATTACAAACAGAAAATAGACGGCCTTAAAGCATTACGTGATTACAAATAGATATAAACAAAATTATTTTTTTGTTTGCATAAATGTCACTCAACAAGAGAATATTTCTTTAAACAGATTTACACATTATCGAATGTTAGCGCATTGCATTATTTCAGAAAACGGAACAGCACATTTGTTTTCTTGTTTTGTCGTTTAAATGAAGAAAACGTTAGGATGTTTAATATTTTATACTTTATCTTGTCCTGGTTTAAAATGGCGCTTGGTGACATAATTACTTAATGTTATCGACAAAGCGATCATTATGGAAAAGAAAAGAAAAAGAAAACAGAACTGAAACATTATTTTCTTGGCATTCAATTTTGAAAATGGAATTGAAAAAGTAAATTATTTTCTCTTTAATTTGACGAATAACAAACTTTTTTGCTATAAAGGATAATTAATAATACGTATATAGATAAGTTTATACATACATACATACATACATACATACATATATATATATATATATATATATATATATATATATATATATATATTTATATATTTAGGATATGATTGTTGGCAACGTGTAAACACGAAGATTAAATAGCAAAGTTTTCGTCGAGAGTTTTTCTCATAAATGGCGAAATATTATATGAAGTTTCATAACAGAAATAATTTTCAAAAAAAAAGAGTGGAATGGGCATATTGCTCCATTGACGAATTTGGTATTTATTACTTTTTTCGTGCAGACAAGAAAACAAATTCCTACTGGGCTACCTATAACCATATCATGGTCATAAAGACGAAACAAAATTCCATAACCGAAATCTAATATTCTTGTTTCCAAATCCCTTGACAGAAAACCAACGAAAATACATGAAAGAAAAATGTAAAAACAACTACATGAATAAATGAAATAAATAAATATAAAGCCAAAATAAGTAACTAGATGTCATCACTATAAATAACAAAAAGATTTAGCGCTAAAAAAAGTACTGAGTAGTAGAAATTTCCTGCTTTCGAAACTTTCATTAATCCTTCAGTTACCTATATATATATAATCAGCAGTGGCACTTCATCTGAAGATCACATTAAAACATTACAGTTGGGGAAAAACATAATTAACACACACACATCCACAAAACACACAACAGATATATATATATATATATATATATATATATATATATATATATATATATATATATATATATATTATTTCATCGACTCTAGAAGAATCCTCCACAGAATGCAGAAAACACTGGATGGCCGTTTCGTCCTATTTTGGGAAACCTCAGAAGTGCTCATCCACTACCGAGACCCGAACCCGGGCTGTTTTGATACAACGCAAGCGTCATACCAACTGTACCAACGGGCCTCGGTAAAGAAGAAGAAACTGAATAGACTCGATATAGCGCCGCTACTCACAAATTTCGTGGTTATACTTATCCAAGTATTTATAACCCAACAGATTGTCCCCAATAGCCACGTCTTTCCTTTCATCCGAACCGCTCCATCGAAGTGCATTAGGTAGAACAAGCAAGAGAATACAATTAATAGAACTTTTGGGATTTAGACAAATCATTATAGTAATTCATCGAGTATAGAAGAGGCTGATGAGTCACCAAAAAATAAGACGAAACGACCATCCACTGCTTTCCGCATTCTGTTATGAATTCTTCGAGACTCGATGAATTACTATAATAATTTGATTAAGTCCACAAAATTCTATTACTTATATTACAAATTTTAGGGGTAGATTCTTAACATCAAAACAAGGTAAATGTCAATATAAACATATGTTCAAAAGTTCATCGTTGTACCTCAATAGAGAAACTAATAACACATGTCCTCCGCTTGCTTCTACAAGCGCATGAACCAGTCGGATCATTGACCCATTCAAATACTCACACACGGTGTCGAATGGTTTCGCAGGCCCCCATAACACATTGATGAAACTTCTCTGTATTATTAATGTCTGCTGCATAAATTAATTGTTTTAGGTGGTACCCACAGATAAAAATTCAAAGGACTGAAGGTGGGGAAATGTGCAGGCAATGGAACCGGTCCTCCCCTACCTAACCATCTTTCATGGTAGATGTCAGCTAGTATATCGCGTATTATGTATCTAAAATGTACTGGCGACTCATCATGTATAAACCACATGCGTCTTCGTATTAGCAGATCTGGCAGCGACTTTGAAATAAAGATTATGTAGACAGCTCCTGTAAGACGTGCTGGGAGAACATATGGACCTACTAGACAGTCACCTACAATTCCAGCCTACATATTAATCATAAACTTATGCTGGTGTCATCCATAAACAAGAGACAAACAACGAATCGGCCAGTTTGTGCACTAAACCATCGGAAAAAAACGTTCTCCCGTAGTGAGTGATCAGAGAGAGAAGGACCCTGCACACGTTGCAAATGACACGGATACAGGAAATGCGCTTGAAGTACCCTATGAGAAGTCGGACATGTTAGGTCCAATTGACGTCTGCTGATACCTAGATCATCTTCGACAGGCTGTAGAATGTGTGTTTTGTGATCAGTCATACGAGCGGATCACGGTCTCCCTCGATCCATGAGTTGTGGTAGCATGGATCCTGTCTCAGCAATGAGACGATAAACAGCAGGAAAGGTTGGATGACTTCGGTCTGAAAACTTAATTTGATACAACCGTTCAGCCTCGTATCCATTAACATTCCCGCGGCCGTATGTAAAAATCATATCTGCCTGCTTACTATATGAGTATCCTGCCATTGTTAATCGAAATACTTCTCAGTTAACTTACTACTACACACGTTCGACGTTGAAGACAAACTTACCACAAATATACACGAATGACGAATGTAACCTACTCTATTTACATTATTCGGACTATTGTCCTCATCTTTGTCGCCATATTTATCACAACGTTTCGGCCGTTGTCTCAAAATTTTCTTCAGGTGGTTGGAATGTCGAACTGAACCTTTTATTTCGCTCACTAGGGTAGACTGTTCTAGTTCCACGTGCCATGTTTGATGGATGTCAGCTATCAGTTATCTCCTGTTAATTTTCCCTCTGAAAGTTCTCCACTGCCTTAACCGGGTATTGAACTCACACTCTTTGGGTCTTGTCACTGGATCTAACCAACGCCTTTATCCACTGTGCCATGTGTCCTCAAGCATGGCACGTGGAACTAGAACAGTCTACCCCTGTGAGCGAAATAAAGGGTTCAGTTCGACATTCCAACCACCTGAAGAAGGCCGAAACGTTGTGATAAATATGGCGACAAATATGAGGACAATAGACCGAATAATGTAAATAATGTACATAATACCTCATCTCAGAAATATAGACAGACTCTGTAACCTAATCTATATAGCAAAACAGCGCCATCTATCGTAAAATTTCTTTAAGCTCAAAAAACAGTGGATTTGCGGATATATGTATATATGGTCTTTGTTTTGGTGTGAGTAACCTGCCCCCTAGAATTTGTAAAAGTATTTTTGATTCACCCTGTATGCACATTTCTGCTTGTGTTTGCGCGCACAATAGAATTATTTTCTTGACTTCACAAAATTAATAATAAATCTCAGCTGGCCGAAATCGTCAATAAAGCAAGATACTCATTCCACCGTTTTTTTTTTTTTTTCTTTTTAAGCCAGAGTTCTGCTAAGCAACTGCACAATATATCGTGGTTTAGGAGTAAACATCTCGGCCAAAAGTCTACTATTAAATCTCCGAGTTTACGCATTACAAACAATCACATTTGGCTTTATACAAACAAAACGTAAAAATATTATTAATTATATACTATTTACACACATACACGCATATATATATATAAACATAGACACACACAAACACATATACACTCACTCTTTCTCTTTTTAGGCACATATACATATACATACATGCATATATATATATATATATATATATATATATATATATATATATATATAGTTTATATATATAAAATAAAACAAACCATAAGGTTCCATGTAATAAATTATTTCACCACATCTCTTTTAAAGGATTGCAGATCAAAGACTTTACTTCCAATTGTTGAAACAAAAATGATGTCCAAAATTTACACATTTTTGACGGGTCGTATTAATGTGTAAATTTCATTTTTCATTTTTTGTTTCAACCTTTGAATTTAAGGTCTGATTTGCATTATTTAAAAGGGCTGTGGTGAATTAATTTATTACATGGAACCTTAAAGTGGTCTGTTTTTATTTAAATTATTTGCTCTGGATTTACGTTGAGCTTTCTAGATTTTATCCTCCTTGGGTTTACCCATACGGATTACCTAGTTTTTCATAAACTACATATATATATATATATATATATATATATATATATATATATATATATGAAAGTTAATATTAAATTCACAGAGGTGACAGTATTTTTCATACTAAACGCAATCTACTGTGTCTCTCCTGGGTCTTGATTTCAATGCCTACTTTTATATTTACATATGCACTCTTCCTGTTATTGAGCACTTTATCTCATAAATATAACATACTTTAAAATTGTATTTTAATATATATATATATATATATATATATATATATATATATATATTAATATATTAATAAATACATAATAGCCCACGTTGGCAGTACAGTTGGGTGTTTCATGCAAACATCAGGTAAAAATTTCTGTGTTTCACGGTGTTATTTGTGGAATTTATTATTATTATTATTATTATTATTATTATTATTATTATTAAATATTTAATTGTGCTAA